CACGCGGACCGGTTCATTCTCCCTCATAACCCCACCTAGTTACATGCGACGCTATCGTCAGGCGGTGTTGCCCACGTTACTCCGCCCAGCTCGTGAAGGCTAGATCTGTTTCCCAGATTTCCGATCGAACGTCCGACGTTACTCCTTACCTCGGCCTCGACACTTGCTCTACGGTCGCGACGCATGGGGCCTGGGCCAGAGAAATGTTGCACTGCGACGTAGAATCCCCCTTACTCCCATACCACACCATGCCGTATGCCAGTGATTTTCGAGCCGCTCCCATTTGCACAATTCGCCCCTCCGCATTACGCGGCACTCAGGTGGCATCTACGGCCGCAGGTCCCTCGGCAATACAGCGCCGCTACGCCGCGGCCAGTCTCCATAGCGGCTAACACCCATTGAGCAGCTTCTATGTCTTGGATCGACCTAAAGCCGGTCAACGCACGTCGCGCGGCAGGTCCATCTAACAATCGGCAATCCACAGATTCGAAGGAGCGGAGACCCTCGACCCAGAGAAGGGCGGGAGCGTCGCCATAGGGAAACATGATGGCCACACCGGAGGGACAAGCGCCAATGAGTCCCTACAGGTAGTGTGTCAATGGTAGTTGGCCTTCATCTACCATTTTGCCTGTCCGTAACAAGCCTAGTACGTATGGCCACAGCTCTTTCCGACTTCAGGAACCTCTACTTTGAGCTCCTGAGGTAGCGTTCTTCTAAACACTTTGTTATCTAGTTATTGAATATGATAAATGAAATTTATGGCATTCAAAAAATAAAAAATCCTCTTATGTGACGAACCTCTAACTGTTTGCCTTAATACAGGATTTCACTATATAAGCGCATTATATAGCATTTATTACCTAGTTCCCTACAACACACAATGTATAGATCTAGGTAAATATAGTACATTTATCCAGAAACGATGTACTACCTCATTCGTCCATTGAGCTAGCGATTGTATTGGGTCCCAGAAAATGTTGTAAAGATCCTCATCCATTAGTTTTAGGACTTTAATAGATACTGAATCCAACACTGAACAGTATTTGGTTTTATATAGAAGATTATTTGTGGAATTTTTAAATCTCTTTCAGCAATTCTCTCCCACATATGAATTTTTTATCAAACATCTTTAGCTACTTGAAATGCTAAGATAAAGTTCCAACTTTCCTGTGAATTTTCAAACATTTGATCTTTTGCTGAATATTTTCTGCATAACTTTACCTTGAATTGTAGATGTTAAAAATACCACACACCTTAGAAAAATCAGAGTAACATTGTGAGTTATTAAGGGGAGAAAAGTTATCGTGAAAAGTAGCATTTACTTTTTTGTAGCCACAGTGTGGTTCAGTGAGACAACCAAGCACTGAGAAAAAAACGCAAAATGTTTTTTTGCCCCCTGTGCATACACACAACACATACACTTATTATAAACTTAGTTCATACTGAGCCCATCGAGAAAATAAATAGTAAAGGTGTTGTGAGATTAGTGCAATGTACATTAGATATCCACTCTAACATAAATGTCTTGTTTTCCCAACGTACTTAATACGAAACTTATCTCTGTACCCTACTCCTGGCTACCTATATCCCTGTAAGCTAATCTCATTTACACCAAAGTTGAAAGAAATACTTGCCAGATCCACCCATAAGCACAGCAGGCACATGGAAAAATGTAGTTTTTAAATTGTTAACATTGAGAGTGAGTGTTGATCAGTTCCCTTTCAACCTTAAGAACAAACTAGTCTGATAACAATGCTCATACTTCATCCCTTTAATTCCAGATATACTGTATCTCTTTAATATACTAACATATACATTTACATATTGAGACAAACACATTTATTATTACTTAGATATCTTACATTGAATTGACTCTGTTCCTAAAATCCCTCATCTGTAATAATATCATTAAAATAACAAAGAAGATTCTAATACTTCATTTAACATTAATAAGCTAACCTAATTATTACAAGATCATATAGTATAATAAAAGCTTGCATGCTTTGGATCACTTGTGCAATAAGCCAAAATAGCTCTAGTAATAACTACTAAAGCAACAGTGCGCGCAATTAACCATAAAGCTTGAATATCTTTGTCACATGGTAGTGAGTGAGTCTTCCAATTAACTTTGTTCTCTCTTTCTCTTTTCCATTTCTTACCTGACCGCAACGTGCAACTCTTATGCTGGTAGTATGACAATATGTTAACCTTACCTAACATATCATCAAATTTATATAATCATACAATTTAACATAATTTCTTCTTTATTGATTGCGATCTATAACCATAGCAGTCAATTATAACAAAATCGAATATCTTTATATTCTACACTTTATATGTGAATAAAACATCGCAAACTCTTTGGCCCTAGCCCATATCTATAATACAACTCATATTCACGAATGAATTACTTGAGATCTATTAAAACAATCTATATATGCAAACTATTAATTTATTGTTCATGCGACTCATATCTATCAAAGCATCTGTGAGCTACATCCTTTCATACAATAAAACATACTATCTTTTTTCCAAATCATGTGTTCAGAGTTTACAATTAATCTGAAACCTCATCCAGATCTCTGTCTACCCAAACCTATTCCACTTCTCCCAATCATGCGACATTCAAGAATCTTGGACGGAATAAATATGAAACCTATTAGATGTATATTAACAAAAACATGCATGCATCATACAATAACCATTAACCACTACTTAGTACAACTTCTGCTCACAATTCCAATTTAGAGAATGAGTTATTTTAAAAAACAATACATTTTAAGAACAATATCTCAAATACTATATATGTTCAAAAGCTTCTTCACATCTAATTGGTAAAATAAACTAATCAATGAGGCGCCTCTATATCTTTTTGTACAGCCTCTTGTTACTTTCGTCACATGGTAATAGTGTATTAACATTCTCGTCTTCCAGTGACTTAACAACTTCCTGAAACTAAATCAGAACTGTCCATAATATTCACATGAAATCATAGAACTAAATATAAAATCTGTAATGTCTACTCTTACTTTGCATTACACAATTATCCCATCTATTCACTCCATGAAATGATTTATAATATACAATGAAACCTGTCTTCGTTGAATTAAGAATTCAACAACCCTGTTTACTACTGTTAATACAGCAGTCCCCCAAATTGTACGCATTGCAATCATAGGTCATTAAACAAATTAAAACAAGAACCACTACTTGTAGAGAATCTGTAAAGAAATCAGTCAGTTCACACTCTACCTAGTCACTTACCTGTGTGTTACTCGCGAATCTTCTTCCCCGATTCTTTATATTGCCACTAAACCCAGCATTCCACACCCGCTAGATTATATTATATATCTACTCTATATTACCTTGAGAGACGTTTGCTCTATAATGCGGCAATATCTATGACAGAATATAACTATAGAAATGAATCCAGTACATTATATTATGTATATCCCCGAATGGATACAGCACACTTACCTGATAACCACTGTTTTCTTCCCCACTGGGCCAAAAATCACCGGCAAAACTCCAAAATGTAGGTTGTTGGGCTATTTTCCAAATTGCAAGCCGTAAATTCAATATAACTTTTTAATCCCCTCCCACACCCTAGGGAATCCCATGAAGTGCAAATCTCTCTTGAAAGACAATGAATCAGTGTTCCAGTTAGATCAGCAGCGTGTAAAACAACATCTGCAAGACACGAGACAGAACACAAATAATCTCACATACAAACATTGTCATTGTCTACCCGGCCTCTATAACAGAGGATTATTCGAGCCAACGCTCCTAATAATATCCCTTCCAAGTTCTTCCCATATCTGACTATAATATATTCAAGGTTCCGAATAGTCCATACCCATAAACACAGACCCAGAAAATCTCCACACTCGATACCTACAACTGTCTATATCGAGCAATCTTGTATCTAATATGATTAACAAGATTCTTTGTAGATGTAAATCGATTAATAAGATTTAGTAGAAAATTCATTTACGTCTAGTTTTTACTTTCTCCACCTGCGGGAGTCTGCGCGGTAAGATAAATATTGCAGGCGTTTATTCATGTCTATCATCTGCTGACCGCCACCCCGACGCAGATTGAATTTTTCTAAACAACATCGCTCATTCACAAGACTCTGCAGCGTACAATGAACGGACCATTGTTATGAATAGCGTGTAGTGAAATTATATTCATTTTCTCCTTCAAATCCAAAACCTAAGTTCAAATCAATTCTTGAAAATTACTTCTCATCCTCTCATTTCCCTTTCGCATTATATTGACTATTTCTTTTCGTCCTAGTTTTGACGGGATCCAAACAAAAGTACTCTTAATAAGAAAGATTCATATATGAAACTTGTATGTTCTTACAAAAATGTCTTAACATTTTCTTCATTTTCAGATCCCAATTCTTCCCAACGATGTCAACTGGAGGCCAATGAATAACTGAAGAAGATCTGAATCTCTGATTTCAAACTGTTAAAACCTAAACATGACTTCGAAAAATGTTTCTATTTTAACTATGTAAAAATGTGCCAGATTACTTTGAAGTATTGTATCAATAAACAACCCTGAACTCAAATATTGCAAATAGATTCTACAAGCTAGCAATTCATTTGTGAAATATGCAATTTTTGATGGGCTGGGCCAAAGATTGCAGTTATTCACAAAGCTGTTTCAAAATCATACTTCTAATTTGTTTAAAAGCATGTTAATGAATAAAACATCTTATACATTATATACTTTGGATTAAATTTATTTACATGATGAAGATTACAATCCCAAGTACAAGTAAAAATTCATTTTAAGGTAGGAAATATACAAAAACAATATACTCAGGTATTACCTCAACACAACTTACACAATTCTAAATTCTGATCTTTATTTACAATACAAATGCATGGCACTCAAGAGTGTCTACAAGCAGAACTGAAAGAAACGCATTGTAGTTATTTGTTCTACACAGACATTTAAACTTCCAGAACATCCAAACAAGACTACTGCTGTTCTTCTTAACATATGAGATACTTTTTGCCATAGAATTGTGCTTTTCTCTCAAATGCAGGAGATTTTATAGGTGCATTAAGTTTATAAAAGGGATTCATTGAATACTGAAACAAAAAATCACAGTGACAGTAATGCAAACAAACATTAATATGTACTAGTTCAGGAGTATGATAAAGTATCTGCTTTGAAATAGTATCATAACTGGGCAAATCACCTTGTGTTCATGTTGCTTATACTATTTTTTAACACCCTGCGAGCAAAAGATGTTTCATACATATTTCATGTTTTGCAATGTTTCACACACTATTGGTTAGAATGAAAAAATAGCTGTTTAGCTCTCCCAAAACAAGCATGAGAAAACAATTGTGTTTTCCTGACAAACACGGAAATACATATACAGTGTGTTAAAAAAAATTGATAACTTAACAAGCTTAGCCTGTAAATTATATTGGATCTAACTCCACCTACAGAAACAGCAAATTCCTACAATCATAACTGAAAAACAGTACAAACACAAAACTTCACAAACAGCTCACAGAGAAAGAGCTGCTGCCTTTTCTCCTTATCTAGGGGAACTTCGAAAATAACAGCATTAAGTTTAAAATTGCCCGTAAATAGCAACATCTCTACAATTTGTGAAGATTTGCAGGATTGTCACATTCAGAAATATCCCTACAATGAAATTTGGAGGTGGAAAAAAAAGAATAAAGAAATTGCACAAATATGAACATATCAACTTTTAAGACATTCTGTTCTCCATCATCATGACTGCAAAGATAGAGAATAGAATTTCCTAAATGTTGTCCTGCCTTTATGCATGTATGAAAAACAGTAACAATACTAAATGTTTAAAATTTGTGTTTTAAAACGATATCCTTCTTTTCACTGTATAAAAACACGGAACAGTGAATGTCATTTAGTACATCCCTGATACAAAAAAAAAGTTCTTTGCTCCTAAATCAAGTAAATTAATTCCTCTAATATCCTCCTATAGACACAACCCAAGTTCTGGGGGTTCTTGATACCGAGAAATTCATTTACGATAAAACGTCTGTTTCTATGTCCATGATCAACGATAGCGGTTGACTAGTAGGAAGGATTTTTCATTAAAAAAATTAAATACAATTAAATTAATTATATATTCCCCGATCGATCTATCTTAACACGTGTTGTAGTCAGAATCCGTTTTGTGCGTCATTCATACCGAAAAATCGACGGCAAAACGTATGCTTGTCCGTCTGTCTGCACAATGCAAGCACATAAACCGTTCAGCCGATTTTCCCCAAAATTGATATTCCCCAATCGTCCTCGCTGATGTCGCAGCCCCTGGATTTTGAATTTAGGGGGTACTTTACATGAAACCCCCGACATTTTCAAATTTTTTAAAAAAGACTCCAAATTGTTTGCTTTTTGTTGTTGTTGTTGTTGTTGCTGAATAGCCCGAAGGACGTTTAAGAGAGTGGCGCAGATCTCATTTTCGTTTATATTCCCGATTTTTCCAAAAATTAAAAAATTACAACTACAAAATTGAAGACATAATTCTGATGAACAGATTTGATTTAAGGGAAAAAATATATCTCCATTGCAGGAAGACGCCGAAAAAACTTGATCTTTTGTAATTTTCAAAAAATTTCAGGATTTTCAACGAAAATGAGACCTGCGCCATTTCTTTAAGAATTGTTCACACTGTCTGAGGACAATGATTAATCCAAAAATTTGAAGCCTTTTTTGACTAATTTTAAAAAATATGATGAAAATATGAAAAAAAGATGAGAAATATAAATTTTTGAGAAAATTGTTTGAACGCTCTAGGCGTTTTGGGGATTTTTTAAGTTGCCTATTTTTTTTACGCAAAAACTACTCATATTTTCAAAAAAATGAACTTGATAAAATTAATTTGAAGTTTTTGATAGAGAGATTTCATTGAGATAAATTTTCTATTTAATTACTGTAGTTGTAGAAAGACGTAATTTTGAACTTTTGTAATTTTCAAAATATTGAGGATTTCAACGAAAATGATACCTAAGCTATTTCTTTACGAGTTCTTCAAGCTATTCGAGAACAATATTTAATCCAAACATTTTGAGCTACTTTTGAGCAAACGTTGATGCTTTATGAAAATCACTCCCAAAAATCAGAATTTTCGTTTTAAACTAGCAGGGCCTCGAGTTCGTTCAGATTGATCGGGATATATCAATTTTGGAGAAAATCGGCTAAAAGTAAAAATTTAGTCACTAGCATTAACAGCAGACGGACGAACAGACACCCATGTTTTGCCGACAATCGATTTTTCGGCGTTAAGGATCCACAAAACATGAATTCTGACTAAACGACGTATTTAGAAGAAATCTACTGCATACAGGAACACGATTTATCCACTTTTTCGTCACTAGGGCCGAGCAACAAGAGTTTTTCTATCGAAAAATCGTTTGTTTTTTTCTCGCAACAAACATACCAAGAACGTAATCAGAAAGCGAGAAATTCTTCAGCTTCTTTTCTTCAGCTTCATACTTTATAGAGTTTAAATAAATACTTTCTGGGTAGTGGACAGTGATTCGTATTTGTGATATAAAAAATCAGTCGTAAAACCGAACGGTACAAACTCTTACTAGTTCGATTCATCATTTCTTTGATTTGAGTAATCTTTTCGGTCTCGCCACGTCCTCTCAAAATCTTACTGCAAAATTTTAATTAATGTTTTTCGTATCCATAACGGTAGAACTGAAATATTACTTGAAGAATAAAATTTGGGGCAGTATTTGAGAAAATGGCGTTCGAGCGTTCCTGAAAATGCGGAATTATGAGTCAAATTTCGCAGAAAACACTTGAACTTTCGAGAAACTTTGTAAGACATCATTTGAAGCATGTGTACTCACAATGGCAATAATGTATACACGTCGCCGTTCACGTAAATGTACAAAGGGTACTAGGAGAGTTTTGCAATACAGCTTTATTTATTTAATTTTTTCAAAGTAATTTCCGCCCCATTCAATGCACCTTTCCATCCTCCGAAACCAATCCCTAAACCAGCTGTACCAAGTTTCACTAGGGAGTAAGGCACACTCGTTGTCCCAAGCCCTCAGAAGGTCCTCATCACCGGAAAACCGCATTCCTTTCAGCTTCATTTTCACATGCGGGAACAGTGCAAAGTCACAAGGAGCGAGGTCTGGACTGTAAGGACAGTGCTCAAGAAGTTTGTCGTGTAGTGGTAAATATTCCGTGCAGGCTTTGGCGCGGTGAGCTGGAGCGTTGTCATGATGGAGGAACCAAGTGTCCATTCTTGAATTTGGCCGCAGGTTCTTCAACGATTGAATGACTTTTGGCAGGCACTGTTCAGCGTACCACTTAGCTGTGACTGTCTTCTATGTCTCCAAAACAATACGCTCCACAATTCCACTCGATTTGAAAAACACGGTTATCATTTTCTTCTTTACAGATCGACGGGTGCCTCCTCATCTTCAAAAATCCAAACTTTGTTTTGGGACTTGATAGGCACGTTATAATAGTACAGCCAAGTCTCGTCACCTGTCACGATGCTGTTTATATACCGAGATCGACCTTTAGAAAACCTTTTTATCATCTCCCGGCATAAAGTCACACGTCGCGGCATCTCCTCTTCAGTCAGTGTGTGCGGCATTCAGAGACAACAAAGTTTCTTCACGTGCAAATGATCATGCAGACTCAAACGAATTACTGGTGCATTAAGGTCTAAGGTATCCTCTATCTGCTTGTAGGTCACTCGTGTGTCTTCGTCAAGCGTTTTCCTCACAGCAGCAATGTTTTCTTCCGTAACTGGTGTTCGTGGCCAGCTCTCTCTCTCTGTCAGCATCCTCCAAACTGAGATTTCCCCTTTGGAATTCTCTGTACCACCTGAATATTGTAATACGATATGCACATAACATCAGTGCAAAATTCATTCTTCAAACACGTCTCTACGTTTAACCCACGCGCGATAGTAATGTATATTACCGCCAAAAAACTCCCGAATCTCACTTGCGACCTAGAACCTAGCAAGCACTTCAAACTGCCAGCTGTCACCGAAGAGCTGCAACCCGCAGACCGCGCGACGAGCGTACTGTCGAGATAGTGCTAACACGTCTCAGCACCCTTCCACAAGCAGCCTCCAGTGACTTACGGTTGCGTCGTATTACAAAACTTTCCTAGTGCCCTTTGGAAACTACGTGAGAGATGTAAAAAAAAAATACAATTGTGCAATTTGTGTTTTTTCACAAATTGCACAATTGTATTTTTTTTTTTACATCTCTCAAAAAAATCAGAGCACATAGGCGTTCATGTCTCATCTTATGCAGTACATGTTGCACTATCTCTAAGTTTAAAGAAAAACATTAGAGCAATTTTTGAGCGATGCTTGATTTTCATATTTTTTTAGTATTGCACTTATTTCACGCAATATTGCATGTAAACTTCTTAAATTTTGAAAATAAAAATTTACATGTCCTTAATTAAAGAACTAATTAAGAACAGATTTCGTGAAAGAAGGAAAAAATTATTATTTTCGATTTTGTAGTTGTAGGAATACGCCGAAAAATTCAACTTTTGAAATTTTCAAAAATCATACTTAACATGGAAAGTCGGAAATATGCCTCCTTCAAAAGTATATTTCTTTCTATTCTTACGAGAAATTTACAGAAATAAATTGGAGCAATTTTTGAAAATGTCCCAGGGGCTTCATGTAGAGTACCCTCAAATTATGAAATGTTTTTCAAAATCGCAGACCTTCGAGTGAGGCCAGATCGAAAAAATCCGTTCGGAAAAAATCCTATGCGTGGTTTTGGCGATAGCGTTGTTTAAGACGAGACGGGACGACGTTTTAAAAGAAGAAAAAAAGACTTCTGGGGGACTAGAGGATCCCAAAACGTTTATCGTTAACGTTTATCCGTTGAAATCTCGAAATCGATTTTCCGAAGCACTACATAACTCTCTCTATACTTTGTATATTACTTCACAAGTAAACAAGAAAGTATCATTTAAAACGGTTTATCATTGAAAATTTGCTTTCAATCCCCAAAAAATTCTAACGTAGATTAGGTCAGAGTCGTTGGATTATTAAGGTGAGTGGGGGCTAATCAATAGTAGTTGGTTTCAAAAACCTACATCTGCAGAGTATAACAGTTATGTCACACGTTTAACAGGGACTATCTGATCTCAGAAATTTTTAGAAAGTAAAAACTATACATTGGAATTTCATAAAAAAGTAATCACATGTAGTCTCTCTCCTCAATGTGCTGTTTTTTCTACTGGATGATCTAGTAGTGTGCCAGTATCTCAGCTGCTTAAAGAAAAATTGTAAATGTTTCATGTTCATGCTTATTACTAACTGATATTATAATGGTCAGAGACCGGATTTTTATGTAATTTTATATATATGTATAATTTATTATATGTATAATCAGTTGTTTTTTTTTTGTTTTTCTTCTTACAATTCTCAAAATTCTAATCTTGGAGACAGATCCAGCCCTTTTGAGGAGGCCATTATAAATTTTTGTTAAATAATAAACATTTGCTATATTGTTTATTATTTTTGTACTGTACATATGATACTTTGTTGGTTTTTTTAATAATTACACAATTCTCACATAAATATATTTATTTCAATTTTGCCAAATAAAAGGTAACAAGCAAAAACCCTAAGTCTTTTGGAGGCGACCATGGCCGACCCTAAGGATCAGCCACTGTTTGGACAATCACCGCCGTTGTAACTCAATTTTTTCATAACATTTTCACATGTTTAGTACTACATTACATATTTTGTTATTTTCACAAAAAAATTATTTTTCTAACAATTTTCTTCAATTTTAATGTGTATTTTCTAAGAAACTTATTTATGGAAAAAAAAGAATTTGTTTCATCTATATAGGCACAACAAATTTCTTTTAAAACAATGGCTTCATCTACGTATAGTCTGACCACTAAATTACGGTTCTGGATAGCAATGGATGAAGCTTTTACTACTGACAGGAAATTTGTATAGGACAAAAGTGTACATGAATTTGTGCTCTCCAAATGATTTTTAAAACAGTTGTATTCTTTTTAAAATTTGTTCAAGACATCTTTTATAAAAGTAATTCCGTATTTTGAAAATATGAGAGTATGTTAATATTACATATTTTGTCTGATTTCACACATATATCACACATTCTTACTGTTTTCATCACAGATTTATGTACATTTCCACATTTCATTCTACATATTTTTCTGGTCTGTAATGATGATACTTGTATTGGCTGATACAACCAATGAGTCAGTTCATTCTTGTTTGTATACTTTGTCACAGTATTTCTATGAGACTCTCCTTTACGTAAGAAGTCAGGTCAAGAATAACATTAAAAAAGGCTATACACTATCTGAAATACTCGGTGGTTGTTGAATAGAGCAGCTTTGACCAAACTGTTCATAATGAACGATTAAAAAATTAAAATATCAGAAAAAAATATTAAAATAATTCCATTGAATGATTTCAAAGCTTTTCAAAATACAAAACTATATTACAAGTGCATACTTTCATTTGAATTTTTCAATTTTGTCCAATTTCTTGCAAACAATTGGATTTGATGTTTTGAAAGCCTACAATATGGTAAGTAGTATGAAAGATGACCTACAGCAATTGAAACAAGGCTTTCAAACAGTTAAAAGTTCTCCAGACAACTTTGAAAGTTAATCAAAAAGAAATCTAGAGAAAATTGAACTTGAAGTAGAAATTCAAATAGCTTGTGATAAAAAGAATCAATTTCAGGCTGAGGAAAAATGCTTTGCCGATCTTTCTTGAGTGGATCCAAGAAATTTTAATGAAGTCATCTGTTTTTAAGGTCCTTAAAAGTTTTGATCCAATTTTACTATAGACACCTTGCATCACAAGTTACAAAATTCAGTTCTTCAATTGGAGAAATTAAAATGCACAAATTTTAGGAACATGTAACCATAACAACATAGGGACTTTACAAAATGGAAGAAACTAAGTTGAAACCACTTATTGTGTTCGCAGAAGAATGTGCATTTGTTGCTACAGAATTTTAATGTGCTAACAGGAGCTTATCAGAATCTAGCTTTAGCACATAATTATGTACAAACTCTTTCATCTACAGAAGTAGCATGCAAATAAGTTCTTCAGAAAAGCCAATTCTCAAAAATTGAATTTGTGTTTCAAGATAACTTTTAGTCCTCCAGATTAACAGCTACAGAAAAAGGAATTGTAGAATACCTTGATGTTGACCACATCATTGATATTGTAGAGGGGAAAAGTATACAAATGTTTACACCATGAAAGAGATTATGTTTTTACACTAATAACACAACGAATCGAAAACACTGCGTATATTTGCTAGTAATTTTATATCTACTTGCAAATACTTCCAAAATATGTATCTTAATCCTTACAACTCTTGTACTAAACATATTTTAAATTCAAATTATTTACTCTCTATTAATTTTAACTACATGTGATTGTATTTAAAAAGGGAGTGGTTTTTAGTAAAATTCCATGGCTGAATTTTACCCTCTGGCTGGCCCCAGCATTCACTATGAACATCCTCTAGTCTACCCTCACCATTATTACCAATTCACTTTTATAAAAAAACACTTCTCAAGAAAGCCTCCAGAATTCAAACTGTGCAGTTTCAAACTGCACTGGAGCAGCGCGAAGTGCCTGATTAAAGAACTTCCATACGTTGTACCACACTATACTACACTTCAACCAAAATCTTATTATTAGGTGCAAGGTGCACTATTGTGCATTGAAAAATTAACAAAACAAATTTTTCCTTTAAATTAGGAACTTTCTTCCTAAATGTTTGTTTTGTTTCTGGTGCTCAGTTTTACATATTCACTCACAGACATTAGTTTATTTTTGCGCTTTTCAACGTGGTATTGATCACACTTGTTATCTAAAAACTCAAAGTAAAAATAAGATCAATTTTGACATATGGCGTAGGCCTCACTTGGCCACACGTAACAGGAAGTAACCTCACCACCTTCAAGAGAGTAAATGCCACAAGTTTGAAAAGAGCCCTAGGATCTCGCTTAATGTATGTCCTAGCAAGCATTTTCTTCCAAGAGCACTTGCGATTACAGTTCTTTCTACATTCCAAAGGAGCTTATAAATGACTTCTTTTCAAACCAAGCCACAATAGAGAAGAGATATGGCCAGAATTCTTCACAATAGGAGTTATGGAAGACAGAACATGGACACAACCAAACATCGAAGCAGTTTTGCAAATTACAGTGAAATAATTGCTCCAAAGTGTGTGGAAAGATAAACAGTACTTTGTTAAATTATGAATTAAAAGTAATTATTTATACTTCAAGCTATACACACTACTTACTAGCGTAAAATTGAATAGGCACTTCAGTCAGCATTTTACCCTAATTTTTTTAGAATCATTGCATGCATATTGTCATGATTTGTAGGGAATATAAATTCATGCCTTAATAATTACACAGCCGTGGAAAAAATAAATTGAAATTGTTTCAGATTATAAAAGAATGTTATTGTGATGTAACTTCACTAACCTTAATATAGGTCTCGTACATCTCCATGAAAAAATTTTTTATACCTTCTTCATTTTTCATATCATGTACCATAACAAATCGCATGTGACTGGCTGTTACAAATGCTGATACAAACCACTGATTGAATTTGTCAACTGATTTCAGATACATACTATTTGTTTTCCACATATGTTCATCAACAAGATCAAGTGCAGCATGTGCAATAAATTGATTTAAATGGCGATGATCTTCTTTCTGAATAAAAAAGCAACTAAAATAATATTTACCATTCACTAGCATATTGATTGATGCAATATATGCAACAAACCTTAGCTTCTTTGTTGGTTGGAGCAAACTCCATTTCAAATATTGGGTTGTCAGAATGTCCCACAATGACAAAATAATAACTGCCTGCCATTTCAATAGAAGTTTGTCAAGTGTTCAACATTTAATAACAATTATGCATCTACATCGAATCTGGATGTACAACCGCAATACTCATCCTCAGAATGCATGTTCACTAATAAAATTTGTAAATAGTGACATTCCCACCACTTTGCAAGTGCACATAACCTTCACTATTAACTCCTTAATAGAGGCACACTATCAGCTTACAAGACATCAAGTTACAAAAACATATTGCCTTTTCTGAGATTCGATATTTTGTTGTGGGATTTTGTTACGTCCGCTGTTGCAATATCACATTCAAGTTTCTGATCAATGTTTCAATAGAAAGAATCAGTACAATCGTGCACAATACTGACACGGCTGAAGCACAGTGACAAATACTGGAGCTGGACCTATACTAAGATCTATTTAACAATACACTTAACTGACGTAAATCAGCTGTTCATGGTTTCATCCAATAGGAAGGTTAAACGTCCCCTTAATGACGTTTTTGTAGCTACATACAAGCTCCTGATTCGACAAAAATGCAACAGCTGATTTAAGTCAAGTGTATGACTAAGTATATCGTACTACACTTGTTTTCTATAGTCCAACTTAAGTGTAATGACACGTGTTAGACCAACAGCTGGACGCAATTATCCAATTAGAAGCTTCGGTGTAACTAATTTTTTTTTTTATATTGAAGCTGTCGATTAGATATTACTCCCGCAACTTTTCTTGAACGATGACCTTGATACCCCTCCCTTGTGCAAAAAACAGTTGAAGGCGAAAGCTCGCAGCGGGCACTGATCACAACGTTCCAAGCATTAAAACTTCGTTGGCGCGAAACAGAAGCTAGTCAAAGCCAGTTGCTTTCATAGTGCAGAACCCCTGTTCATATTTATTGTCAATATCGAAAGAAATGACTAGAGTCAGGTCCAGGTCCTTCAAGGGAGTCACCTAAAACTCTCGAAAAAGTTAAGCACAAGATGAAGTTTTGACTTTCATTTCACACACGTTGGCATTACTTAAAATACTCTAGTGGCCGACTTTGTAACTAATACCCCCACTCCACCTGAAATCGTCAATCCATCGTTCAAGAAAAGTTGCCCGAATGATAACAGCGTCACATCTGATATCAGAGGTCACTAGATTTAAATTAAATAGAAGTTGCTTGGCACTGTATCTTAATTCGAACATCGTGGCACTACACGATTACTTGCTGGAAGGCGATATCCAATCGGAAGCTCCAATACCAAACATTTAAGTGGTAACGAACTTTCCATCACGTCACGAAGCTCATTGAATGTCCCCCTCATCTTTTAGCTCGTGATCTTGAAGTGCCACTAAGATTACATCGGAGTGTAGGTAGCGTGTGTCTGCGAAGTTAACTTTTAAGCCGTTAGATAACGATGTCGTAAGTCCTATGTAAACTACGTACATTGTGAAGAATGGGGATTTCGAATCAAATTTACTTCTTGAAAATGTTTTCGTTTATTCATTAAAATAAAATTATAATAATTTTACTACGTGAGCACTTGCTCATTCTCATGACACTCCCCTTTACCTCAAAAAGTGCCCAAAAACATTTATAAATTTCTTTTACGCTAGTAGAACACAATAGTACATTTTGAATGTAATTAAAATACATCGTTTACACTTCTTCATAAGTTTCACATTAGTTTCTTTTATTTAGATTATTAAACTTTTTTCACAAGCCATACACATGCCATCGTGGTTCACGCACGAGTCTGCTGCACCAATTTAATCGATTTTATAACATACATAACAGTTTTGAATATTTCTTTCGTAATTTGACAGATTCAATGAAAAATTGTTGAAAATATTGCCATTTATTGTGACAACTTATTTTTAATAACTAACTTAATTGTTTTTAAAACAAATGATTAAGAAAATATTTTAATTTTTGGTACAAGACTCAATGTAAGGAATTATTTCAGTAAATATTGGAAAATGTTTAAAAAAAAAATATTGGTGTAACAAAACACCAAACTAATATCTCCCTACCCCTATGTAATGCAGCGTAATGCTTCCTCAAACCTTTTATAGACAACCTTTAAGGACCATCAATCTCTACAACATTGCCAACTTTTGCCTCGTAGTTCAAAATACTCTTGAACAAAATAAAGAGACTGCGGATCTCTTTCTAGATTTATCAAAAACCTTAGATAGGGTGTCCCATGAACTCCTCCTAACCTAGAAACCTTTGGAATACAAGGTGTAGTAAATTACCTTATTGGATACTATTTCACAGGCCACAAAAATGAATGGAAATTTTATGGGAAAATGCAAAGAGCACTTTTAATCCAATTAAAGTACAAAGTGTATTGGTGTTCTGCAACGATCAGTCTTAGAACCAATATTTTATTTTACGTGAATGACCTCCCAAAAAATCGCATCTCTCACAATACCTATCGCAGAAGCAGCTTAAACTGAATATAAAAAACAAAACTTAATGAACTTTCAACTAAAATCCAAAATGAATTAAAATTCTTTAAGTAACCACAAATGATGACATAGTCAAGTTAGTGTCAAAAATGTTTGGGTATATACCTAGATCAGAACTTGTCATTCAACAAACATATAGAAAACATAAGCAACAAATTAAATACAAACTTCTTTTTACTGAGGTATTTCTCTAAATATTTATCATTTAACATGCTTCTCACATAATACTACGAAATTATCCACTCTCCTCTTCAGTATGGAAATGAGATAAGGGACAATATATAACAGACAATATTAAAATATAAAAAAAAGAGTGTAAGATGAATCTACAATTTACAGATTTGTCAGACTTGCAGGGAGCTCTTCATAAATTATAAAATCCCACAGAATGCTTACAAAGTACACACCCTTCTATTTACTATTCACATATGTATCACACACAAAACAATGAAATAGATAACTCTTCTTCTTGCAGTCAACACAAATACCAAAGAATAAATACCAGTAAATCAGCAACATTGAAAGACATTTAACGAACTTCCATACCACATTAAGACTGATCATGACAGAACTTTCAAAACGTTATAACATACATGTATTTTATAGAAAAATGTCCTTGTAGACTTGCTGAGTTATAACAGCATCTTTAGCCACTGTATTAAATTATTGTGTACTTACTATTTAAACTCACCAACTTTTATATAGGTACATTTTTTTGTTTGATATGTTATAAGCATATATTCTCATTTTATCTTGTTTCAAAAGATTGAGAACCACAGCAATTTACTTCAATACATACAGTACCTAATGTATTTTACCATAAAAACCCCTTCCAAAATTATCTTCATGTAATTGTACCATTACAAATTCGTATGTTAAGTCAAGTTTTATAATTATGCTACACACATTCTACATAGGCGTGATCAAGATCATCATTCCAGTGATTTTTTTAGAGTGGGTGTGCTCATTGCTGTGAGGAATTAACTTAAATCTGTGCCATGCAGATATATAATCCCCCCCATGTCTGCCCTCTTACTATAATCAACATTGTGGAGTAACCATTTGTGAAAATCTGTACTTACCAGAAACGTTATTGTTAGCAGTGTATTTCCAGCTAAACAGATATTCTTCACTCTACATGGACTATGCAGATGACCTAAGAAATATATCAAATGCTTACTTCACATATAATTTTTTGTTAACTCGCAACTTTGATGTGTCAAGGGTTTCATGGAATGATATTCTTAATGGCTCAAGGATAATCAGAGATGCTGACACTATATCGCCTCACCTGCTTTGCCTATCATTGATGTGACAGCAACCCAGGGATTACACCAAGGTAACAAAGTCATCAGTAGTCATGGTTCACTTCTTAATCTTGTCTTTTTTGATCAAATTGCTTACCAACTGAGGCAAGCATCGACCCGCTACTTAAGTGTGATAGATACCATCCTGTACTGTTGATAAGAATCCCATTTGAGAAATCTAATGACACCAATTGTTATTTCACTGTATTTTATGATTTCAAGAGTTGTGATTACGATTCAATTAACAATATTTTGACAATCGACTGGTTTTTGTTCGTAGATGTCGATTCATTTTATATTTATTTATTTGTAGCCATTGAAGCTTGTGTTTCAACAAGGACCGTCAGTCGCAGTTCTTTTCCGCCTTGGTTCACGCCTGAACTAAAAAAGATATTACATGAGAAGAGAAGAGAATCAGCTAAACATCCTATAGCATGTACCGAGAACACTACACACTGACATGAAATCCTTCTTCTGGAAGCAAGCAGCTTATTTGAGTGAAAATAAAAATATTTCTGCCAACTTCATTAGGGAGACACCAAGAGGATTATCAACCAAGAGCAGCAGGTTTATTTCAAACAGTCTTATGACAATGTCAATTGTGCTGCAAATATTATAACAGTGTAGGTCTAGTCATGCTATATTCTTTTGTAGTATTAAGATAGGGCTATCAAAATCATCATTCCTGACTATCAAGAAATTGCAGATATGCACTGCAGGTGCTTTGCTAGAATTCGTTTGGACTAAGAGATCTCTAAAGTGAAGGCCGAAATTGCAATATTATAGTCCCAATAACGAAAGGAAGTATGTGCCGTTGTAACTCTAGTTTTGACTTAAATCCTTTGGATGCAGGTCTGAAGAATCATTCCCTGTCCAGCAGAAGCACAGTATAGGGGTTTGTGGCAATAGATTTTTATAAATTGTCAAAAACCATAATTTATTCTTAGCATTTTATAAATAGAGAAGATACAAAATTATGGATTTACTCGAAAAATCAAATAATCTATATAAGAGGATGAAAAATAACATCAGTTACAATGAAGACCAGTTTATTGTATCAAAACATATTCAAATGACACACATACTTGCACATGCATACACAATCTGAGAATTAATTAACAATCTGGATTCCTGAGACATTCTCATTGAGGTTTGTGATGACATGCATACACGTTCTGGCTTCCTGAGATATTCTCATGAGGTTTTAAATGACTGTTATTCAAATTAGCAGTATAGATCATATATTCTTTTATTGACCAACCTTTGGCAACATGAGAAATTCATTCCCTGATCAAATCCAGAAGTAGAACTAAAATTTGCATTTGCTACTTGAAAACTAACACTTTAACAACTGCACAACAGTCTAAATGTTTAAACATACAGATGTATTTCATGCAATGCCTAAAGAAATTGTGGATACAAAAACTACCACTTATCTTTTGATATATGGCAGATTCTCAAAGTAAATAATATGAAATTCTGCACTTTTTACAAGAAATTAATTTGCAGTTATTCTGCAAAGGATTAGTATTGATACACACCATTTTAAATTGCATTCACTTATACATTTGTAACATTTATTTCCAGAAATAATTCATATTAATTACAAATGTAAAATTTATATTCATTGTCAACTTAACAACACTATTTCTTATTGACCGTTTTTAAGATTCAAAAACAAAAGCATTCTCTAAGGACATAAAACAATTTTTTATTACAATTAACCTCAAAAATTATATTCAGAATGTCAACAGAGAACAAGCCAACAGATGCACTTTGAAAGTGTTGGGAACCAATATTTGTTTTAAATATTTATACAAAACTACAAAACTCAAATTCTCTATTTTAAAAGTGTATCCTCCATGAGCAATCCTCATTAAAGGCAACAAACTACAAATCTGACAACTTAAGGGCATTGCAAATGGCAGATTAAATGAGATAAAACTAAAATACAATGTAAAAGTTTAAAACCAAGTGTCAACAGCCTAAGATTTTTATAGCAAAAACAAGAAAGCATATAGAACATCTGAATATATTAGGTGAACTATTATACAAGCAACAAGACTAATTAATGAAACTAAAATAATTTTCAAAAACCAATTAATCCTCACATTCGGCATTCACCCAATCAAATTATTATTGAAGTGTTTTCAAACACTGTAAACCCTTATTATCACACAATAAACCCAATGCAATTGCTATTGAAAGCACCATTTCTACACTGATCTCCTTAGATCCTTTGAAAAATTTGGCCGGTGACTTCAATAGACATCCAACATGTATCTACAAACTAACATGATCACATTTGGTTTCTCAGTATAACTTTATACTAAGTGCAAAAAAATGGACGAATATTACTGTTGCTATTTTGTGATAAATCATCTGTATTAAATCACAGACTTTCACATTTTATCACTGCAACAATGTTTCCATGACACCTTGCACTGTCAAGTCACAGAAAGGCTTACAAATAAATCAAGAACTGTAATTGTCATGGCCCCTCAATATATTGGGAATAGATGTCATGAAAGAATTCATCTTTGATATTTTAAAAATACTCCGAGACCCTATCAAATTCTTAACAATCAGAAATATGAACATCTCGTATACTTTACACAATAGTTAAAAACTTCCACTATCATAAATTTTGCTATGTACACATATGTATATACACTTACACAGCATGAAGTTACACTGCTTTCAGACTATTAAGCCGTGTTTACTTCTCAATTGACAGACACAAGTTGTCACAGAAAATGTCTTTCCACCGTACCTTCTGAAACTTGACTTGTCTGTTATGGAATGCAAAAACATGTGAAACAGCCTTATTTCTCATGAACAGTACTATTGCAAATAATTATGAGGTGAGCCATAGAGTATACTATTGCAAATATGGTTCTAACAAAGAGGTATGTGAATCCTGATCAATAAAAGAGGTAATCCTGGTAATAAAGAGGTATGTTATCCTGCAATTCATAAAACTCTGAGAAAAATAACCAATTCAAAAGTTAACAGTCAAGCCTCAGTACCCGCACAGGAGCATGGTTAAAGTACACATGATCCTTTCTATAACATTCATATCCTCATAAAGGCAGCAGATAACTTAATTTTAAGTTCATCCTTTATGGCACCCTGTCCCACAAATTTGTAAATGTATCAGCGAAACAAATGTTGTCAACAAATGTACCGCACACTTCTTGTATCTCAACAATTCAGTTCTTCGATCAGCCTTCAGCTTCTGCTACTTTTATGGCTGCAGCAGAAAAAAAGAAGAATGACACATAATGTAATGAATGTAATGCACATTATGTGAATTTTTGTTAAACTATAAAATTAAAGCTGGAACATTTTGTGTAACAAAGAAAAGATAAGAGCTATCACTGCTTATACTTGGACTTACAGGACATAAAATAAATTAAAGTTTAAGATTCTTTTGGAAATTTTGTTCTGATTAGCATGAATTTACTGAACTGCCATCTTTTAAGAGAAATATGTTGAGGGTCCTTTCCAAAGAAGTAGTTAATACTGCTCCAGAATCAAAAGGTCTTACTTCCATTATTTAGGCACACACAAAATGCCAGAAAGTATCTCTAGAACTTCCAAACAGATCCTTTCCAATCTCAGTTTAAATGTTATGTTAAAATATTATGTTAAATTATTATGCTAATATTTTTAGTTTTTTATCAACTTTCAAAATTCTAACGATAATGACAAAGAGATATTTCTACATTTCTAAATATGTAAATTAGAGATGCCTATTTACAAGGAATAAAGTCATTGGGTGACATTCTTAAGGGACTACGAATAGCAACAGTAGGTGCCATATACTCGTGCATTTTGTTATATTGAACCAGTGTTCGCTAGCTGCTCCCTTTGACTGCTAATCACTGCCTCCCACTGTAACACCCACTAGGTTGAGTCATCAGCTGAGGTTGTAGGCTACTGGGCCGCACTTTGCACGGTTGCACAGCAACATCAGGGGCAATATCTGTCCAGATACGAGAGAAATGATCCTACTGCCATCTTAGTTTCTTAGTCTTAGGTTCCATATGTCATCCCAGTCACCGAAAGATAATATATAATTTTGTTAAAAAGAAAGAACGCAAACACCAGTGAGAACATGAGTAGCAATGAGGGCATGGCAAGTCCTGGGTATGCGACCTGAAGGACTGTAAGTCCTGGGCATGTTTATACCATACAGAGCACGGAACCTGCCGGAAGGACAGGCATGCTCATAGCAGTCAAAACCAGCTCATAGCAACCTCCCTCTTTTTTTGCCCTGATTCGTAAGGAAGAAAATGATCTACTCTTGTCAGAACTGCGTTAAGGTTGCTCCCAATTCTTGGGAGAGGTAAATTATGTATTGTTGTATTTTAAAATGTTATTCTTTATAAATGAATTCTTAAATTTCGAAACAAGGGTAAGAAACTTATCAAGAACTTTTAAAAGGTTCCATAACATGTCAGAAAGGTGTAGGAAGAGAAGTGAAGAAAAACCATTTTTCTCCTCCAATAGAAAGTTAATCACAAATTAATTTTGATAAAAGACATTGATTATTATATTATTTATCTTTTTTGAATATTATACTGGCAATATTCCAAAAATGTAATACTCAATAAATACTTTTTATTCCAGCAACTGATCTACTTGCTAATTCCTACGTCAACAAAATTACCTTACCGAGATTTTTCACGCTCCTTTTCTTTCTCCCTTCTTTGCCTTTCTTTTTCCCTTCGTAGCTCTTCAGCAAAGTCATCTGGTGTTCGACGTCTATAGCCTGATCTAAGAAGAGGGAACAAAAAAAAACAAAAACAGCTGAAAGATGACACTAAAATGCACAGTACTACGCACAGTACTTAACTACTTAGTGATCATGACAAATGTTAAAATAAGACAAAATATTGTTGAGACCTACCCATCTTTATGATCGTGGGATCTATGTCTGTGATCTCGGTCCCTTTCCCTATCTCGATGTTTACTTATAGGACTTCGATCTCTACTATATCTCTTTTCCTTCTCACGGCTTCTGTCTCTACTCTTTTCGTGGCTTCGATCTCTACTTTTCTCCCGTCCTCTTTCCCGTTTGCGTTCAGGGCTGTGGGGTCTCCGACGTTCTCTCTCTGGTGAACGTCTGCGATCGTTGTCAGTTCGACGCAAACGAGAGAAACGCTCAGCCTCCCCAAATGATACTTCTTCGTCTGGAATGTGACGTGCTTCCTTGCTTGGGGGTGGTGGTTGTGCACCACTAGGTTTTGCTTGGCGAGAAGGTGCAGCAGGAGGGAAACGTTCCATCATCATCTTCTCCAATTTTTGCTGAGAAAACAAATTTTTTTCTTCATAATATTACTGTATAAGCATAAAGCATTGCATAACAAGCTACATGTATTCCAAACACACGTTATAGGATTAAATTCTGCAAGCAAGATGACAGAAGAGTCATAAATATCTACACAGTACAATGTTTTTACAGATTGGTCTTATAGAAAGCATGCAGTTCAGTCTGCATGAAAACTTTCCAGTATGTTCACTTTTGTTTATGAACAAAACGTATAGTTGGACTCGAGCCCCTAATAGTGGTAGAATCAAAATGGATTTGTTTATGGCAGAAATCATCTTTCAACAAATTTACTTTTTATTTTTTGTGTTTTTATTTATTTATTCATTTCAGAGAGATAGCAACAGGCTTAAAGCCCAAGTACAAATTATAGTATAAGGCATTGGATGATACAATGAATATACAACTATGAACATGCGTGAATATAAGAATGCATAAGTATTCATAATATATTAATGAAATATATGAAATTAAAAACTGATTATGTGAATACAAAATAAGTACATGAATGTGTGAATACATGATACGTGAATAAGTGAACAAACAAAGTTTCACCTGAATTACAATTTAGTTTTGATAAAATTATTAGGGTAATCTAGCAAACTGCTGGTTATGTGCGGAGTGCGGGATTCACTTCCTCATGAATTACCCCCACCACATGCTAAACACATAGGGAACCAACCATAAAATTAATTTCCTTTTTAGCCTTGCTAGTGTACACGTACGACCTAACAGTCATTTACGACAGTCTGAATCAGGAAACAAGAGAAGTTCACATGGAAGAGAGCCCGAATAACAGAAAGGAATCAACCACATTGACGATTGATTTTGTAGCCAGAATTTGATATGGAACCCAGCTCCACAATTTTCACTGACTTCTGGAGGGGATCCAGCCAGCTGGATCAAAATAATTTTATCCATGAGGCAGTGAAATCTCTTCATTTTGTGGATCTTGTAACTGGGTTCACATGAACAATATTGAATTCAGCTGGCATCTCCTTCGTAGAAGACTGGCCCAAGGGAGGCGTTCGCCACGAAGTCATGGCTATGCACTTGGCTAAGTGTTCATGGAGACCAGCTTGTCACAGACTGCACTGACATCCGTTCTGAGCTATGGTGTAAGACTTAGAGATGAATTCATGAATTGTGTTTAGTAACAAACTTGCATAAATAAATCTTATAATAACTTTGTTAATTTCATGTGTGTCCATTCCTTTGCGCCAAGTGGAGGGGATGCCATAAAACAAGTGAACATCATTCCCTGCACATAACCAGCATTCACTAAAATCTCCAATTATTATTAAGAACTTAAAAATACAGATCTCATATACAATAGCTTAAGAGTTTGTGTTTTTTTGATAGTAAGATTATATGATTGCGTAATCTGGATAATCTTGTAATCAGCGAGTAGAATCATAAGATGTATTGTAAGATGAGATTTTCTGTTTGGTTTTTGATACGTTCAGATGTTATTAACAAGAGAAATACTAATACATTGTTAAGACTACCATTTTACACATGTAAATAATATAAGTTTGTCACAAGATCACTTTTAAGGTTATATTTTTATTCACACAAAACACTCATCACTTTCATGGAAAACATTCTTTCTACTGGAAAACATTGATGTCTTATTTTGCTTAATTGTCCACTGAGTTCACACCTGATTACGGATGAGATGTTTCACTCTGACGAAAGGTGAGACAGAAGGCTCATCACATAACTAAAAATTTCACAGCAAAAATACTGACTCTGACCAATGAGAATAACAAAAATCTGTATCAAGCAGAGGGTGTTCGTATTCATAAATTTCAAAAGTTGGCTGTTTTGACCAGAAGTAGGTTTTGATGCCACAATGCAAATTCAGTCCTTGCTGTAATGTGTCTCAGACCGTTCGTGCAAATTGGTTTACTACGGTAAAATATAGAGTAGTTAAGAGTTACAGTTAGTGAACATATTTGGATAGTGTCCATACATGTTTGTTTATTAACAATATAATCTATATGATTTGTATGTCAATTGAGTCCAAACGTAAAATAAATAAGTTTTAAATATTTTATTGCTCAAAATATGTAAATTAACATTGAATAATATGATTTTCATGGACACATTATTGATATAATATAAAAATAAAAACATGGTGTCACCTTGAGGTGACATAGAGCACTATGAATAGAGAGGTTACTAGAAAATCCTGTTTTACATGTTCAGTCATGTTTTTCAGTTTGTGTTTACAAGTTCAGTCATGTTTTTCAAAAAGATGTACTGAACAGAAAATCTTACATTTGTATACTCAATTCTTTGGACAAAAATAGCATTTATCATAAAATAGACAATCAAAATTGGAAACTCAAAAACATCATTTGTAAATTCATTTTAAAATTCACTTAGCTAACTAATATGATTAATAAACAGCTTTTGCCTGTGGCCTAGTCTCTCATTATAATTGTTTACGAAATAAATAAAATAAAAGATTGCAGTAGAGAACACAGTGTGCCCTTAGAGAAGCACAGCAGCTGAGTGCAGTCTCCTTAAGCTCTTCCTCAAATTACACTACATGCTCTGGACAAAACAAATAAAACTTACCAATAGACAACTTTCCTATGTCATTAAGTTTGGAAGCACCCTCAAGGAACAACAAAAACCTCTCAGTTGACCCCCTCTGCACAGAACACTTATACATATAAGGAGTGACCCCTTTCTTACTGCACTTCCACTCGATACTATCACACATTCGAAATTATCAACACTTTTGCTAAGCCACCTTCATCTGTCACTTACACACAAGACATGTAAATCCTGTAGCAACCAAACCATTTTCTTGCATCCACTCTATCACAGGTGCAATGTGTAAAAAACCTCTTGCAACATTCTCACCTTACAAAGGAACTTTTTTTATTTTTTTGGGATCACTTTTTAACATCTTGGTCATAAAGTGACCACTGTGATTGTTTTAACTGTACGGGAAACTGTAGGAATAACACATACGGACAACACAAACAGCAAAGCCAGAGACAGAATTCAAACCTGCGATCCTTCTAGCCAAGGCAGCTACAACCCTCCAGCCTTAACAACCTTGGCTATCCAGGCTGGCATAACTCATATTTATTCTCACCGTCATAGCACAAAGACTCAACACTCAAAAACATATATCAGAAGAGTGCAAGAAATTATACAACAGCAACATAGCTAACCACTTCGACAGCTTCCACACCCGACACTAAAATCCCAGAGGCATACACAGCACTATTTGATAATGGAGCTCCAACAAGATAAAAGGGTGTAATTCCCTCCCTTAACTTCTGACATCATGTTCGTGACTAATTACAAACCATTAAAATTATTTCAGTAGTGAAATTTTTACAATTTATTTACATTGCCTTCAGCGCCACGCATGTGAAGCAGCCCTACTGGCGAAATCACCCATACTTTGTTTATTATAACTAGGTACTAACTTACGTACATATGCTCACTACCTCCTCCCCATTAAAATAATAACCCCATAGTCACCCCTCGACCCCTCCACCATGGATTTCCACCATGACGGAGCAGCGCAAAGTGCTGGTTAACATCTTAAGTTCTAAACTTCAACAAAATAAAAGAAAATTTGTAAATATCTATTCTAAAGAAAATTGTGTAATAAATACATTAAGATAACTTTTAAAAGCAATAAGTAAACAGGCAGTAAAAAATTTGGAAGTTGTTCTTATGAAAGACTCAAGTATCAAAATTTTGAGTAATCAAAATGAGAACACCTTTGGATGTAATTTTAAAAAACAAGACACTAATTTTAAGAACCAAGCAAATCTCACATAATTATTTTAGATTAGTATCACTTATTTACCTGTATTGGAACAGGAATACGGGGAAATAGTGTTGAAAACCATTCCAGCTTAGTTAAAAATGCTCTCAGCATGTCGCCAATTGTCATCATTTGTCCCCCACCAGCCTTCACGTCCAGTTCCTGAAACAAGAAAAACAAACATGCATGAGATAATTGAAGTGATGTAAAACATGACTGTCTCACGCCAACGTCTTAGCTCCTTAAAATACAGGGAAGCTCGAACTTCAGGCTTCTAGGGCATCTTACAAAGACCACACTGGATTCAAACCTCAGTTTCCTTCAGTCTTTTTATAAAAATGCCAAAACTTAGGAGAAACTTAAAAAATGTAGCTATAATGTTGACTTAGCTAGAAAGATGGGAGCAGCTGTTAGGAAACTGAGGTGTAGTTTTGGGAGAGCAAAGTTTGCTATACATCCCATGTGTGCAGATACAAAGTGCTGTAATACTAACCAAAATGGCATACAAATATTTTTAGGATTCACTAAAGCAAACAAGCTTTGAGAACTTAACGTTAGAAACATGAAAACTCTGCAACTGTTAAGTCAAAGTTTAAAACATAACGAATCCTTAACCACAGATCAAAATAAACATTCAAACAGGAGAAATTCAGATATTTATTACAGCAATCTGATTGTCTCTTTATGTCATGGTTCAAAATATAATAGAGAAACTAATCGAAAGCTTACATAACATTTATGAATCACTATCACATGACATTACTATACAATTACTTCCTGAAATTCCAACAATTTAAATTGGCAGACCACATGAAACTATTCATCTCTAAATTATCCACATGAAATCAATGCATCATGTCCTGGGCACATGGGAGGCAGAAACAAAACAAATTGGTGCCCTTGGCTCTTTTTAAACTCATTTAATTATTAAAATTTACATCCAATCTAGAAACAATCATATTTTGAATAAAGTAAGCAACATGTACTTGAACATAAGCACATTGTCAAAAAGAACCAAGTTACCACAGGTCTTACTCTAAATGATGCATCAAGAGCAAAATACGGCTTTAGTACTTGCAGTTAAACAACGTTCGAAGCACAAAAGTTGCACTCCGTTACTCTTAGGAGGATGCAGGCCTTCGATCCTGTTGGAACACGGAATGGCTATTACTTCATAGTATCAGACATGAAAAACATGAGCCACTAGCAAATAAAATTTAATAAACACTCAATTCACTTTATTTTCACTTCTTTTCAGAACACTCAAACAGAATTAGTCAATGGAAAAATCAATAAAGGTTATTAATTTGTTTAATATGTGGCAATAGTTCAATTGGTCCTTTCTAAAATGGTTCTAAGTCGAAGTATTTATTTAAAAAGAAAAGAATTTTTTTAAAAATTGGAGAATAACTTTCCTCTAAAACTGATGGCACAAGTAAGGAGTATCATTTTATCACACTTTTTGAGATAACAATACAAATAACTATGTATTGCAAAATTGCATGTCGCACATTTATATTTGAACCACACTTAAGACAATATTTTACTGTTATTTCTTGATACTCCATACAAGTGGATGTATTTTACTTTACTTCCTTTAAACTCAAGAGAATCAAATATTTAAATGCAAAACTCCCAAAACTACAAATATTAAAAGTTAATAAAACATAATCATAGATTGTTACTTACCAGCAATTTTCAGCCTTGCCTTCAAAGACAGGAGAGGTAAATGTATGGAAAGGTGCAATGGAATCAAAAGCAAGTCTTATGTTGCAAATCTACAGAACAGACTTAATAGTATTCCCTGTGAATTATTCAGTGAATAAATGCAAATGCATTTTTAAATCCTATACTGCAGTCAGGATACGAAATGTAATAAATGAAACATACGAAATGCTAATTTAGGTTATGGCAAATTTAAAAAAATAAAGATTGTTCCCTTTTGAAAATAATATAGGAAAGGAATCGTTGGGAAGAGAAGAGGGCCAAGCCGTTTAACATACCTCAGCGTCATCCAAATATGGTTCATACCAATCCCAAAGATCTTGAGGGGGCTGAGTATACCTGCCAACAAAAATATTTGTATGCTCAATTTTAAAATGCTCAAATTTCATATTTATTTCACGTTCAAAACCACTCCACATTTGACAATATTCACAATTCCTGAGAATTTGCTCCTGTGAATAACAAAAAAATAGAACATACAAGCACATAACAAACAACCACCTTCTTGCTTGATTCACCACACAGGTCAAAAAAATTCTTTAATGTGCTTTGTGATTGATTAACAGAATCTGACTGGGGGGAGGGGGAATCTTCGTATATCAGCAGCAATGTAAATTGTACTTCAAGCATGTGTCCAAGCCTGTATACTCACCTTACATACATAAAACCCAGACCTCGAATATAAGGCGAGTCTGGATGTGTGAGAAGCCCATTTACCTGCTTCCTTGTCAACTTGAGGGTGAACAATTTGTAAAGAAGGCAGTAAGCAGTTGATACAATGCCACCTGCACCAACCCCTCGTACCTGAAATATAAGATTCACAAATCATTTTCTGTATTGAAGAACTTGACAATAATCCTTTAAGAATTTTAGTCTAGGTGATGCTAAAGAAATATGAAGAATTTTAATATTACTGAGGTCAAGGGATACAAGTTCTTAATACACTTTCCGGCAAAATTACGTTAAGTACTGAAACTCTAAGTTGAGTATCTACATTTTATATTAGTAAAACGACCAACTTGATTGTGCCTCTGATGTTGCAACAAACAAGTGTTGGGAAATATAGCTTAATCAGCTTAATACACTTTATGGCTCAATAATTTAAACCTTGTTTTCTCCAAACTAAGATTTTTGACTTAAGAACTTTTACCCCATGTCCACAGAATTATTAAAATTCTTCATATTTCTTTGTCCTTACCTAAACCAAAATTTATATATCTCTCTGCCATTCATAAAAAAATTCCATTTTAATAAAGCCCCTTTAACTGTCCTCAGATTTTTGTTCAGATACAAGACATCAGAAGCAATCAAGATATAAATGGTGCAAATTACTTATCACTTCTAGGCAACACAGAAGAAAATTCAACTCTGTACAAACATTACCCTAAATCATGTACAAAGGTTTTGCTGAATTGATAAACAATTCAGGGAAACGAAAAACAAAATAAAACAGAGATGGGAGGAAGAATATTATTCCCTAATATTGACATTCACCTGTCCCAAACAATAGCAGAGCGTATTTTGAACCCACATTAAGCCATCATCAGAATCATATCCACTGTGAAATATTTACATAATGGAAGCAGTGTTTTTATCCTCTCATGATGACAGGAATTCATCTATACTGCTTGAGATGAAATACAAATTGAATTTGTATTAGACAACCAAAGCTATGGAAATCTGCTGCAAGTCAGCACTCAACAACATCAATGGATTCAATAACATTATGTAAGATGTATAATTGCTGCACAAAAAGGGCAACAACGACATTATTAAACTAACAAAATATTACTGATACATAAACAATTGCATAATACTTGAAAAATAAAATTGTACAATAAATTGTGAAATATACTTACTCCTCCACACATTCCAGTTTGACCAGCAGTTTTTCTGCTGCCTTTTTCCCATGGTTCTAAGTGTGTAACTTTATAATATATTTCATCAATAACTTCGTGGTATGTTTTTAATTCATATAAATTCACTGAAACATGAAAGTATTTTTAACAAACCACAAGAAAAAAGGACATTATTTTCTTAATAAACAAACATACCTTTGAAATAGTGGGAAGACTGGATGTTTGTTAAAATAAGAGGATTTAAATTCATTGTCCTCTCGTTTCCCCAAAGTGGAAGAATATTATTCTTTTTTTCTACTTTCTGAGGTTTCTTGGAGTCTTCTTCCACATTCGGACTGTTGTTTGCCCAAGGTACACCTACAAACAATGTTTAATGTTTTAAAAGTCGAAAAAACTCAAGTACAAAATTTTTTTAACATTCGTAATAAAAATTATCTTATACCCATCGTGGGTTGGTAGTGCAATTGCTGCGATTCAATGATCAATATCACATACTATAAAATAATCTGTTTTAAATCTAACGATGTTCCTAATATAAAGTTATATCTTATACTTCGCAATACAACGCGAAAGACAGAAGCCATAATTGATGTACTTCATATTCGACAATCAATATATTTCAACATGGCACGACTTCTGCGTATTGTTGGGAAGGTTCAGTGCAGCACATGCACTGCGTTATTCCAACAATATTTGGAATGAACAGTTTTTGATTTAAAATAGAATCAATTTACTCTCACCTTCATTTTCATATGCATCCATTTTTCGGCGAAAAAAAAAAGTTCATCAAATTTCTTGATAACCTGACACAATTTTTCACAAAAAAATTAAATTCAGTCGTGTTTTGCATTTAAACAATTAGAAGAAACCATCGTTTACCCAGTAAAATAACAAATTAGCGATATTATTCTATTTTTACAGTCAGCTTACTTCGTCACGCAAAACTACACGAAAACCAAAGAGTAGTGTTTGAAAGAAAGAACTTTTAAAAGCTTTGACTTATAATGCAAATTCCACTACACTTTTTTTAATATTCGTTTGTCTTGGCGTATGCTAAAAAATCAACCTATTTCTTTAATTTTTTTATTAAACACTTCTTTAATTTGTTTTGTATATTATTTTTCTGTAAAATTTTCAGCCTGGCAAAAATTGTTGCTCTTTACGTAAATTGCTTTGATCTTTCTGCGACTGCGCGATAGCAGTAAAATTCTTTCTTCCATGGAAGCATGGAATATTTATGTGGGTCCCGAATGTAAAATTCGGTGTAAACGAAGTATTTATGAATCTGAATATTTCGCTGCTTTAGGGTTGATGTCAATCTTAATTATAAAATAATATTTTTGTATTTTCAGGTATTTATGTAATGTTCCATTATCGTGCGGTTCCCAGTAGAAACTTCATTTATTAGATTAATAAAACAATGTTACGGAAATGTTGTTAAACCTTTTCTTTATTTCCTTCCATAACGAATTATAGATAATTATTTTCCCGGATTTCGAAACTTTTAAATGCCTTATATGGCATTTAAGCAAATGTTTGAGGTACATTGTATCTGTAAGCTGCAGGGTTTTCATTAACATCATGACCCATTCTTTTTTTAATAATGTCTGATAATGCCTTTCTAATGTATTTTATTATAATTTCATCCGCAACGTTCCCTCGTCCCGAGCACCTGAACCAACACTGCACCTCTGTCCTCTACTCCCTTCGCTTCTTTTTATGTCAACATGGCGGCGAAGGGTGTTGTCAATGAGCACAGCTTAGTGGGAAAGAACGGTGTTAGTACACAACACGACAGAAACGGTCTACGAACAGTTCAAGAATTTTGTATTCAAAACGGGAAAATTCAGGTATGCTACTGTTAATAAGAATACCGATGTTGTGAATGCTTGAAAAGGGGTTAGGTGTTCCATTTCCCTAATGCAATGAGTAAAAGTGCCGGTTTCTGACATTTCTTCCTGAAAAGAACTGTGGGAAATTATGTCGAATCATTATTATTTATTTTTACGCGTGAAGTTGATATTTTGCATTCACCTGTAGTGTTAGGAATGTGAATGTTGCTATTGTGGGTCGAGTGTCGCTGTCTCACTTGTTTGTAAATTTTACAATTAAGGAATCAAGAAATGGATCGACGCATCATAGCAAGGAGAAGAAAAGAAAGACTGTGGAGTCATTTGAACAAGTTCCTCTGTACACTGCTGTGATGACATACTTGGGCTTCTACCTTTTGATGTTTTTGGGTTGGTTGAATCAACTGCTTTTCACTCCCAATGTTGCTCGTGAACAAAATAGAGAGGTATAACTCGTCCCAACTAATGTATTGTTATTTGAGTCTCCTTTAGACCTATAATTATATTTTCTCTTCATAGGGGTATGTGCCACTATATAACAGATTTGAAAGTTTTTATCTTCGATATGTGTATCGACGAGTTCGAGATTGTTGGAATATTCCTATCTGCAGTGTGCCAGGTGCTGAAGTGGTTTTAAAAGACAGAATTACTAGAGACTACGGATGGACATTTGAGTAAGAGATGTTTTGAAATTATTTGTATGAATTACACATTTGAAGGTTAGCTCATGTTTGAAATTGCAGATTTACAGGTACTGAAACTAAGTGCTTGAATTTAGGCTCATATAATTACTTAGGCTTTGCAGAAACTAAAGGACCTTGTGCTGAAGAGTCTGCTCAAGCTATTCGTGATTTTGGTTGTGCACAATGCAGTCCGTGTCAAGAATTAGGTAGGCCACAAAATCATTTAGTTTCTTGTGTTATTGAAGAATGTTTCATTGATTTTTATTTGTATTCTTTACAGGGACCAATCCTCTGATTGTTGAGCTTGAGAAACTGACAGCAGAATTTCTTGGAGTTGAAGATGCCATTGTATTTGGCATGGGTTTCGGTACCAATGCTCTGAATTTACCCAGCCTTCTAGGACCTGGATGTTTGGTGTTAAGTGATGAAAAAAATCATGCATCTTTAATTCTTGGGCTCAGATTATCAGGGGCTACTATAAAAGTATTCAAACACAACAGTATGTTCATATAAGTATTATTGATTTGTTTTTAAAAGTGCATGTCTCTTGTACTTCGCTCTTTGTTCCAATTCAAAAGTGTTCACACCAATGAAGATAACTCAAAACTTTCACTGCAGTGCCTCTGACTTGAAGTCCTAGGTTTTGAATCCCAATGGTAGTAGGATTTTTGACACTAGACACTGGATTTTAAACTTGACACTTGTTGACACTGGACCAAATTCAGCTGCTGTCTGGAGGAAAATTCTAGCAGCTAAGTGCTCTAATTGCTGGTTTTCCATGGTTTCTCCAAACAAACACAAGGAGAATACCAGAGCAGTACCTTATCAAAAGGATCATGAGCCACATAATCTTTCCTTCTTCTTCCTTGTTCCTTACACACACACACACACTTATGTGGGCTACACTACCACACTTATCAGGAGCTTGTGAGCGGTGCCATGCTGGTAGAAAATTGATTGGGGAAAATCCCCACAAAGCACCAAAGCTACCACCTCCCATCATAAAAATATGCACTGCACTTAAGGGACTAATGATATTAGAAGATGACAGAACAGGAATCACTAATCAATCAGTCAAAAATCTTATAAGCATTTTGATGCTAATAAGACATGGCTGCTGCAGATACCACTAGTCAAATATAACAAGTCATCTGAAATCATGTACTGGTTGGTACATTTACATCCTTTACACGATTGTCACTTATTTTCATTCATGAATTGATTGTGATTGAGATAAATGTATTTCACATGTATCTAGACAAGGTGAACCTGAGATTAAAAATATTGCCTGATTTAATATTTGGAGATTGTCTAATTTCTTTTATTGAATAGATATGAAAAACTTGGAAAAAGTTCTGAAAGCTGCAATTGTTAAGGGGCAACCTCGCTCTCGTCGACCATGGAAGAAAATTCTTATTGTTGTGGAAGGAGTATACAGCATGGAAGGATCCATTGTTAAGCTTCCTGAAATATTGGAGTTAAAGAGAAAATACAAGGTATGTGCACAGAATTTTTATAATTACTGACTTTTTACATTCATGTACAATGGGGTCACTCTGTGCAAAAGTGAACCTCTTCTAAATAATTTCAAAGGGTAAATATTGGAAATGAACTCAGTGAATTTTGGTGGCAAATATCAATTTTATAATTTTCATCCCAGATTTCTTCTTGTGTAATATCTGATTTGTATGTGTTCTAGTTTAGGGTGATACTGATTCAGAGTGAGGCCAATAATGAATTGATTACACATTATTTCTTTCCTAGGCTTATTTGTATGTGGATGAGGCTCATTGTATTGGTGCTCTTGGAGAAAGAGGTCGTGGTGTTGTTGACTACTATGGATGTAATCCATATGATGTAGATATCCTAATGGGAACCTTTACAAAGAGTTTTGGCTCAGCTGGGGGATACATTGCTGGCTCTAAGGTGAGTTAAGTACATTATTGTTAATGCATAGCTTGAAAGTGCAGAGAAAAACCCAAACCTTCTAACACTTCAGCTCAGAGGAGGGGGATTCTCTGTCAATCTATCAATTCTCTATCTTTTTCTAAGTTTAAACAGAATTATTGCATCTGTATATCAGACAGCCAGTCAGTAGTTTGGATTTTCAATGCAACATCAGAGGGTGGCACTAATGAGGGGTAACCAGGTAATTTGGGAGTGACTAGTTTGGCTGAGCTTTCCTCACCTAACCAGAAAGTGGCAAAGCTCAAACTTGCCCTAAGAGCATCACGTTTCTCGTCTCAAAAGTCGTTACGAACGCCCCTTTAACAGTTACCAACCCCCTGTTGCAAGTGCAACAAATTTTAAATGCATGTGCGGCAATCTCGCCTCCAATGCCTTTGCTTATTAAGTACTTTGCAATTATAAGTACACGTGTGTCATGTTGTGTACATTGCCCACTACCCCTGTTCTCCAAAAAATTTCCCTCACAACCCCCTAACTACCCCTCCTGTCCTCCACTGTCGATTTCTCCTTCGCCTAAGTGGTGAAAAGTGCCAGTTTAAATGACTTCCTGCAGTTGTACCATGTTCTCTTCTTCAGCCCTTTTGAATGAACTTCTTAACCAAAGAAATTGCTTCATTTATAGTAATTAAAATTGTATCTATTTCTTTAAATATTTTTTTAAGCAATTACAATTGTCATATGTCATCATGACATCTCAACTTTTGCAGTGGATGATGGCAATAAAAGATGTTGACTTGTTTTTGTATCTTTTATCAGAAACTTATCGACTACTTACGTATCAACAGCCATGCAGCTTGCTATGCTTCAGCCATGTCACCTCCTGTTGCACAGCAGATTTTTACTTCTATGAGCATTATAATGGGAAAAGATGGAACAACAGAAGGTATGTAATTCTGGATTCATATTATCATCAAAAATTGAATGTGTAACTATTTTGTATGACTATTTTATATGGCATTACTTTGACATAGGTTTGCGCCGAATTCGACAGCTGGCATATAACACTCGATACTTCCGGGAGAGATTGAAGAAAATGGGAGTCATTATTTATGGAAACCAGGATTCTCCGGTTGTGCCTCTCCTAGTATATATGTTTTCCAAAATTGGGTAAGAAGTAATTAGGTTTACATAGTATGATTGTGTGATTAATTTTGAATTGTAAATGTATAAAATATTTATTTATTTGAGACAAAAAAAAACAAGACTAATCTATATCTGACATTTGTGAGAGGAAGGGGATATAAGATCTATTTAAAATTTTATAAATTAAGTGTCAGCGTAAGTTTCATATTTTAAATTATTAGTTTAAGTCAGGGTGGCCACTGTCTGCAAAATATGGAAAACCGAGGAGAGTCAGGGAATTTCAGTTCTCTAGAAAAGTCTGGAGAAAATCAGGAATTCGTTAAAAAATGGTTAGAAATCAGGGGAAATTTTGAGATGGTTATGAAACTAGATGTTATCCATAAATATTAGTACAACGTTATTTTTTGCTCAATTTCTATTTGTTGAGTTTTTATAATTTTTACTTTATCACAGCATAATCAGAGAGCTGATTAATTACTTTCATGATAGCTTGTGGATATCTTGTGGCGCAGAGTGAAGTCACTTGCTGTTCACAAGGAGGTCCGGATTTCATTCTCCAACAATCTCATGTGAAATTTGTTCCAACGAGTTGCCTGCTTACCAGGGTCTAGTCCAACCCCTGTGAAGTGTCCTAAACCCCACTCCTGTCCTAATTGCTTCCCAATTTTGGCTGCCGAGTAGTGATGCAAGGACGCATGGTAAGAGGTGCGTACACAGAGATGCTGCCTGGCATTCTTCATGTCAACTGACTGCATCGAGACTGGACAGACAAATGTAAACAATGTTAATGGAGGATTACTCCAAATGCAAGCTCTCAAATGCCCTTGTTGTGGCTTAGAGACGCATTGCAAATTAAAATTTTAAAATTTTGATAATCTTGAGTTAGATTTTTCATGTGTTTACTGATAGTGTGTTTTGCAAACCAATCTTCTTTGTACTTGACTTATGAAAAGAGCATGGCAACATTGACAGCAGCATCCAAGCCACAAGCAATACTACCAGCTGCCCTAGCGATTTAAATCTTTGTTTCTTCCAATTTAGTCTGAACAAATGAAAATTTATCCACAATTGAAATTATTGTAATTGATTGCATTGGAATTTTGAATTGATGGAAAAGATTTAGTGTTGATGTCATCATGGTTCTATAGTTGTAAGTACTGCTTTTCTTTAAATATATTTTGACTAGTATCTGGTAATTGCGAGTGTGTTTGCAACAGGCTCATGGCCAGCAAGGTTAAGTTCAGTCACAAATGACAAGCATAAAGATGATTAGTATGTTGTATTTATGTATAATCTAATCCCATTCTTCCCCACTTTTTTATGTCTACGTTCTGTCAATCAAATTTTAATTGAAGTTTTTACTTGGTAGTGCTGTTGTGAGAACTCTGAAGCAAAGACGAATAGCTGTTGTTGGAGTTGGCTTTCCAGCGACACCTCTGATGGAAGGCCGAATCCGCATCTGTCTTTCAGCTGCCCACACAAAAGAACAGCTAGATGCGGTAAGATTAATTACATTCTAGCTTCCCCCACACAGAAACTACAGTTCCAAATAAGTCAGTGGCATGGTAACTTGGATGATGAGAACTATAGTTAAAAGTATTAGAAAAATAATATTGTTTTGGCTGAAGATCATGGTACAATCATGGAAGTTGTTTAAACTCCATGCTTTGTGCTGCATAGGCAAGGGGGAAGTGGAATCCTCGGAGGAAGGGGCAAGGGAAGTAAGGAACTTTTGAGGGAAATCTTGTGGGCAGGTTGCGAGTAACTTTCGTAATATCCTTATACAATAATCTGTTCCGAACCACTAGTTGAGACAAATGATGCATCATTTGTCACATCTCAGTCCCCTGGTAGGAAAGCAATTATTTTTTAATAGATCCTGAAAATTACATTATTATTATTATTATTATTATTTCTAAAAATTGTTGTTTTAATTTTTTGCTTTTTTAAGCAATTAAAATACAACTTTGAGCACATACAGAATCTACAAAGGTGATCAATAGCTCATTCAATTCCTCTCAACAAGGCAAATCGTTTGGCTCAATTCATAGGTGGTTCCCTCTAGGATATTCTGCAATGTTGGTTTTAATGCCCCTACAAATACGTTGCTGAAGTGCTGTGAATTACAATACTCTCTGACTACTACCATTAAATCTGCATGGAAAAGTTTCCACAAGTAGAAAATTGAGGTGGCTTAATTCATTTTTTGATAATATAAAAAAAGGGGTGAAAAGGCCAGTTCCTAACTCAAAACACATTTTGTAAAATAAAGAGGAATATTTACCTTGTAGAAATATTCAATTCAACGGATGTTATTAATTTTTTGGTTTGATATATTTATTTTTATAAAGAAACAGGAAAATCTGTTTGTGGAGTGAGAAGTATAAATATTTTCGGTTAACAGATTTCAAGTGCAAGTATCAAAATTGAAAATTTGTGATTCAATTGCATTACTAAGACAACAAAGAGGTGCTGATCTAAGAGAGTATAGGTGCCTAAGAAAATAGACTTGTGAGACACTATACCACCATCTAAGAACTTGGTCGCATGTACCCTGTCAAATGCAGTACAGACTAATCACCATTTGTTTTACACTGTCATCTCCCTCCACTTAAACCACAGGCGTATAGCAGCTAAGCAAGGTTTTAGATGAAGATTCGAACTGACACAAGTCATGAACACATTCTGGCCAGGAGTGTACAATGCTTTAGCGATCATGGCTAAATCGACATCTAGCAATCGGAAATAATAAAATTTGTTTAAACGTTTTGATTAGGATGTCTACGCCTATTGAAGAAGTAAAATTCACAAAGTATTACAAAAGAAATAAATTTGAATTGACCTGAAAAGTGTCTTCTCAAATTAAGATGCTGGGCATTAATGGGTGAACTATAAATGTTTTTTGTTGATTAACTCTGTTGGATACTGAAAAGAGTGATTTGTGTTTGATTTCAGGCATTGGAGACATTTGAAGAGATAGCAAATACATTAGGACTACGCTATTCCCAGCAACGTCGTCCAACAGATCCTGTTTTATATGGAGTTCTGGATAAAGTAGATTGACAGGCTATTTTGAACTCTCAAAATATTTTGCATTTACGTGCCCAAAACTGTTTAAAAGTGCTTGTGTGAGAGAGATGAATGATGCAACATTATGCCTTATACATGTTATTCCAAGACAAATAGTATGTACTTACAAATTTTCCACACATACTATTTATTTTCTTTGCTTTGGCACTGCTTTTTGGATTTATCTCCTATGTTACAACTGTGATAACTATTGTACATATCAGAGCTTTTACAGTGACCTTGTGGAAATGATTTGTACGTAATGTTCTCTGCAAGATATCCAGTAATAAGATTTGTATTAAGTTGTCACCTTGAGAGGATGAAGCCAGATAGAGAGAGAGAGAGATTGGTATAAAATGAATGACAATTGTACACTATTGCTTTTGTATTGCATTCATATTGTTGTGTGATTATTGTAAACAAATTAAAAGTTATTTCTTATATTGCGTGGTCATGTTTATACTACCCATTTTCATTCATACTCATTTTACTGAACATTGTTTTATGCCAGGCCCTGATCCACAGGGAGGAAAGTGAGGGAAATTTTTCCCCCTAAATTTTTTCAGTTACTATAAATTTTAACTTGTCATGAAACTTTCAAGAAAAATATTTTTTGATAATCATTAAAACTCATAAAATCTTATTGCGCATAAGGTGAGTTTAGCCTAAGACATTTTATAAAATCTGTAATATGACTTTGAACCAAAACATTTTGAATTTCCACTCCCAAAATTTGCCTGCATCCGTCCTTGTTTTATGCTAAATAATAATGTTTGTGATTTAATCGGCCCCAAATGCATGAGAAAGATGATTTGAGAAATTGATTTGTTTACTTCCATTTAGAAATTTCCTTAAATAGAACCATTTCTAATTTTTATATTATACCATTTATTTCATTATAATTGTATCCCGTGTTGCCAGGGTGGCAACAAATCAATCGACTCAATAGGAAAAAAGTGAATGCTATGTATAATCTGGCCTGCCGCCTGGTCCCGCTCTGTTTGCTGCTGCCATCTTCATTTCTATTATGTTAGTCGTTGCTACGAGAAGCTGTAAACATATGCATATGCCCATACTTTTTACACACTTCTAGAAATAATTTTGACCTTCAATTTCTCAAAATCAAATCGCGTTATCAAAGTACTTAGTAGCGGTGAAGTTTGTGCATAGGTTGCACAACCCCCATATAATCATAAAAGATTTTTTATGTTAGGAATATACGTTTTCCCTTTAATGACATTCACTATTCAAGATTTTGCAGTAATGTCGAATAATAAGAAAATAGTATATAAAATCATTTTGAAACGAGTGCGCTCCGGCGTCTTGTGCTCTCCCAGGCATTGCACCATATGACACCATTCACACTTGGCTCTACGCCGTAACCATTCTTCCATGAGAGGGGTCTGGTGTCCGTGGCATGGCGACCAGAAGAAAACATATTCCGTCGTCGTCTGACACTAGCTGCATTTCGCGTGTTTTTGAAAGTACACTAGTTCAGTCAGTTATTGCCGGAATTTAATCATTATTTATAATTGTTTTCAATTGATATTAGCAGACCCGGGGGGGGGATCCCACACCCTAGAATGTTTAAGAAATAATTGATTTTAACTTTTCAAGCAAAAATATTTTCGGATAATCATAAAATCATATGAGATGAGTGTAGCCTGCGACATTTTACAAAATCTGTAATACGACACATTCGGCCAAAACGTTTAATTTCCCTCCAAAACTTGTCTCTGGATCTTGCCCTTGATATTAGATTAGTTGATTCAAAATGTACATTTGATAAGTTCTTTCTGTAAAGTTGGCAGTTCTCCTGTCTCAAGGTGGGTGTATGGGGTGTATGGCTGCAGTGACAAGATGAACAGACGGAGAGCGTTGTGAATACGATTGTGTGGAAGATTTTTCATATTAGCGGAACCCGGCAGACGTTCTGCCTTCCATCTCCCTTTCCCTCTCTTCGTCTTCCTCCTCTCTCCCCCTACTCTCTGTCCCACTTCCCCCCCAGCAAAAATGTAATACAATGTTCAAAAAGATTCATCCTGTATGTTAAGTTGTGACAAACGTTCCTTTGAGGTCTTTGGCTTCAAAATTCTAGTTTTTAATACTCTAGAACCCTTCATTTAGGAGTTATTTAACGATATATATTCAAAAAATTCTACCGAATGTGTTGCATTGACAAATTTTATATTTATTCTATAGGGCCATCGATAATTTTTCCGATATTTTAATAATTTTTATGCTATTCGGGTCGGAGATAAATCCAACAAATCAGAGATAATTTAAATTGGTCCAACCATTCTTGAGTTATAAATGCAACTTTGTGTGTGTCTGTGTGTGTATATATGTATATTTGTAGTGAGGGGTGAGAAAGCAAGAGGGAGAGAGACGCGTGTTCCTTGGATTTTAACATTCTACATGTATCCATTACGTTGTATTACACTCGTGTGACATTCTGGTATGTCACAAATGGAGCAATATGGCGTTTATGTCATCTTACAGAATGCATCACTAACAAAAGTTTAAAGAAAAAAAGTGTAGTCATTTTTGAGAAAATCTTGTTTTTGTAATTTTTTTAAAATTGCAAATGTTGCACGCTATATTTCTCGAAAACAACTACAATTTTCAAAACATGTAAATAACCTTATTGATAGTACTGATTATGAACAACATATTTCATTTTAAGGAAAAATTTTCAATTTTATAGTTGTAGGAAGACGCCGGAAATCATTAAAACTTTTTAAATTATCGAGAATTCAGAGTAAACCCTGAAAATTGGACCTATGCCATATTTATAAGTTTATTTTACTCTATTATTACAAGAAATTTAAAGAATAAATTTGGAACCATTTTTGAGAAAATTTTGAAAATGTCCGTAGGGCTTCATGGAAAGTACCCCCAAATTTTTAAGTACGGTTTTCAAAACCACACACATTCGACTCGAACCAGATGGACAGTGGTTTCTTCAATTTGGAAATTATCCTACGTTGCCTTCAAAAGATCCGGAGGAGTGGCAAGGGACACAACCAAAACAGGTTATATGCGCAGGTGACCACAAGGTGACAAAATGACAGATGAATCCAAATTCTGCACGGCGCGGAATGCGACGCAGAAGGGCAAAGGACTAAGACGTGCCAGAAGACGCAACGCCGCAACTGGCAACGGAAAGTTCCGAAGACCAAGCGAGACAACACGGCCGCGTCCGCAGGGGACCCCTACCAGCCCTTTTCCGTGCAGTCCGCGGGCTATCCAGCAGTCAGGAAGGTTCGTATGCGAAAACAAGACATCGGCCATGGGGCTGCCCGCACTCGACACTGCGGCGCCATTTCTTCGCCGTTGGAGCAGTGGAATTGGAAGTACTTCTGGATTGGATGCTACGCATCCTCACAGAGCGCGTTCGAAGCATGAAGCCCCCTCCTGTTAAGACATGGCCAAGCCAAGGGCTCAGGTTGCCGATTTTCCGGAGCGGTTCCTTGACACGCTCGGAGCTGTTCAGAGGCTGTGGGCAATAAACGGACAGAGTAAATTGCGAGATGTGTGCTTTTGTGCAAGATATACACGTTTGGTGATGAGCGTACAAAAACATAATTGTATTAAGCGTGCTTTAAGTGTTAACAATTGCTACATGATATGTATGTGATAGTGTCAAAGTTAACTATTGTCAATTTGGTAAGATGTGAAAAAACGTGAAGCAAACTTCGCGAAGTTTATCTGTTGACAATGAGTGTACTGTAAAGCGTTTATTAGAGAAACCTTTTAATCGTCGTTCGTATAACGAGAAATTGTAAAAAATGATGTGTGTCATGAAATATATAATGATTGTGTATAGTTATACAATCAAAGATTATTTCTAAGATTAGCGGTAGCCCAGGGCATGAAAACAGTATACGCCACTGCGGCTATATGACATAGTCTAAAATTGGTAAAGGTCACATCGATGAATTACCCGGATCTAGAGTAACCTGAGGGGAGATTCGGGAAAACCCGGAAACCAGGGGGTTACCACCACCTACTACCCCTTGCGCACTGTTTGGCGCTAACGACGGGAGTAACGCGGAGAAACTCGTGTTCGGTTGGACGTTTCCAACGCCCACCAAGGAACTTCAGGCCCTTCGGCCGCTGGTTCCCCCTGCGGAGAATGGGAATAACAACGAGAAAAATGCGCGGGTTCCAGAGTGATAATGGTGACTACACAATAGTACAAAGTTATGATTGCACAGCAGACAATTCTAGTTCAAACAATAGAGACTCATGTCACTGCAGTTCCTCTGACCAGGAAGTCCTAGGTTCGGACTAGCACCTAAAACTTTTAATCTTTGACTCTAGCTAGATCGAAATCTGTCGCTGTCGGGAGGATAATTATAGCGGACGTTTTTCGATCGGTACTTTTACGTGGTTTCTCCCATCGATTCCAGGAGAATGCCGGAGTAGTACGATAACAAACGGGCCACGGAACCCGCGCGCGCGATCTTTCCTTCCCATTCCTTGTTCTATCCTACGTCTTGTACATGTATTTCCATGCACTATACTACCACACGTGCCAGAAGCCGGTTGGGATCGTAGAACTTGTCCCGCTGGAGCGGTGCCCCGCTCGTGGGATTCCTGGTTGGGGAAACCCCAGATGGCAGAACCCCGGTAGATCGGCACAGGATTACAATGCCAGCGGGAAAAAATCGTTGCCATCTCATTCGATAAAAACACTCATCACTCTTACGGGACTAATGACCTTAGCAGTAGGAGTGCCCGGAATCACTAACCATCCAACTAAGCGACAGTGAGAGGACTCTGCAAAATAGTCAAACAATGAACTAGTGGTGCACAGTCTTACCCGCATTAGTTTTCTATTACCTTTGGTCTCGGATAGCTATTCGGACTCACCACATACTGTTGCCAGCTACCTGCTGCCTTTTCAAAACGTTTCTTAATTTTTCGGTTTGCTAATAGCTAGTTGGATAGAACGGAAATATTGTTTCCAGAACATTAACGAAACTTAAAACTTCTCCTAAATGGCAATTTTTTTTAAACATTTGGAGCCCCTTTTAAGCAAATGGCATTTAAGCGTTACTTTAAAGGGAAATTTGAAGCTCTTTTTCACAGAAAACTTGAATTTTCGAAAAAACTTCATTTGAAGTCATTTTAAATAATTTAACTCACAAGTACAATAGTGTTTACAAATGTCTGGAAATGTGCATATAAACGACGTGAGAGATCTTGTAAAAAAAATTACATATGTGTAATTTTTGAAAAAAAAGACCACGAAATGTACTTTACGTCACATTAAAGAGTGCAATTAGCAGTATTCGTTCGAAAAGTTTGAAGAAAAAAAAATATTTTTTTTTAGAAAATGGCGTTTGAGCATTTCTGAAAACGCGTAATTGTGAGTTAGTTGAGCTTTCGAAAAGCATTAAATGACAATATTTAATGCACATGTACTCATAAATAT